CGTTCAAAGTCCTTCTCTGGCTCGTCTGTCTTTCCAGGCTTAGTCGGAGCCATCACTTGACACACGGCGTGAAGAACAAGAAATACTCGGAAATTTTGAACCCAAGGAAAACAAAAACCAGGTTCTGATGCCAAATTTGATGTAGGATATGGGTAAATTGGGTATTTAGGTAGTTTAGAGGAAGCGAAAACAATGGGAAAACAGAAAATAGAACAAAACGGATAAGTCTGGAATCACTCCAGGGGTTTGGCTTCACACCAAGTAGTCTCCAATCTCTGGAAAATAAGCTTTTCTTTATATCTCAACAACTGAATTTTAAAGAACTACATGGAGGGTATTTATAGCAAACTAAAACCTAGACACAGTAGGATAAAAATCCTTTACTAAAACAGAAATCCTAATTCACCAAGGAACTAAGTAAAAATCAACTAGGAAACTTAAATCAAATCCTACTAAAAATCTGGAAACTAAAATCCTAGTGAAATCTGGAAAACTAAAGAATCTAGGAAACTAACTAATGATGTCCACATCAGAGACCATACTAACTTAATTATTTTATCAGGCATTTACGAAGTATACTTGCAAAGTAAATGTTTAAATTTTAATTTTTAACAGAATGAGCTCTTATAATCATGCAACACTGGCATCTGCTTGAGTTTGATCAATAATTATAGACGTATGCTTTTGATGTCTTTCACATTTCTCTTGTCAGATAGATGAGAAACGAAGGCTTGCTTTGGTGGAAGAAGAGTTGCAATCAATGAGATATCACCCTTTAAGAGACCAAAAGCCAATTAATGGCGGGGAGGTTGAATTTAACATCAAGAGAAAAAAGTTGAAAAAATGTAAGGGTCAAAGTTCTGCTTTTGGTTCTTTCAAATATCTTTCCTGTTAACTTTTAAAGCCTCTTTTTTGTTCTTTGAACATAAAATTCTGTCTACTTTGTGTCTTCATATAGTTAAGTAAAGTTATGCATGATTACTAGACTGCATCTGTTCCATCTACCAGACATAAAAAGGCAAATCCTCTATAACTACAAGTCTGCTAATAAAAATATGCATATAATAGAGTACGGTCCCACGGTAAATTGGCTGTCAAATCGTTTGGAAATTTCTGAATGTTGGGGCTTAAAGGTTGCAGTATTCCCTTTGGTATGAATACCAAAATAATATAACTGTATATTAAATGATCTGAATGCAGAGTAGTTGTAGGATGACTAGGATCCACAATGAAGAAATTGTTTTAATTGTTGTATGCTCTCTTGTTCTTGTCAATGCTTAATCAAGGGACTTAATTTCCCTTTATCTGAATTGTAATTTTGATGTCTGCATGGAGCACCTGCTTTGAAAAGGTAGGAAGCCAGATAGGGTTGCCTACACCTACATTTAATGTCCCAAAATTCAGTCATTGTAATGTACCTTAAGCAAATAATATTATTTGCGATGGGTCATTGTTTTTCCAACTTCGCTCACTCCTTAGGATCATCTTAGCTGTTTTTGTTGATTTGTATGTGTAGATTATGTGAGAAATATTGTCTTCCTGTTTAACTTTCCTTAGTATACATATGGGACACCCCCGAAAGGATCAAAACTTTGGGCAGTTTCCAAAATAATCTGTCTCATTCTATGAATTTTCTGGAAAACAAATACCAACACCTGAAGTCGTTCAGTTCATTGTCCAGGGAGAGAACCTTAGATGGGAGATTTCCTTAATCAACTGACTGCATGGCATGCTTCTTGCGTCATTGATGCCATCCATTTCTGCTACTGGTATGTGCTATGGTCAAGGTTTATTTCAATGACGAGTGCATAGAATGCTTCATGATGAGCGACTGAACTGGTTGACGGGTGGCTCTGATTAGCGTTGCAGCAGGAGAATTCATATTGTATACCTAATTGATGAGGATTTCTTGGGAAGAAAACATATGGTAAATATCTGGCACTAATTCTCTATTTACCTTCCTATGACCTTTTACTTGTGCGATTTTCTCATCAATACACGAATTTTTGAGATGCAAGATGCAAGCCCTTGTATTTTAAGTGGTTGATGTCTAATAATTTTTATTTCAGTGAATATTACCGTTCAGCTCAAAAGAGGGGGAAAGTTGGATACCAAGGAATGCCAAACTTCGAGAGAAAAGTAAATGCTGAAATATGCAATTGAAGTGAGTTGAATTCTCTGCGATGGCATGAACCTCCTTCAACAGTTCCTTGTTTCAAGATAGTTATATCTAGGCATGGCATGGGCCGGTTCAGCTAGGTTCTCAGCCAAAACTGGAATCAAATTTGATACTGTTCATCTGGTCCGGTCTGGTTTGTGTTTTTAGTAAAATGCCAAAGAAAATCGGACCAACCTAGATCGGTTTAGGTCCGGTTCTGTTCTAGTTTTCACGGTTTGGACAGACTCTCTAGCCTAATTGATATTTTTACAAAAAGTAATGGAGCAAATCGACGAATCCGTACAACAAAAACCAGATCTGAACCTTCTCAGCCAAAAGATACTAAAAAACAAACAAAAAAAGACTATCCAGCAAACTATCCTTTGAAACCAGAAACAAATATTGACATTCCAAGATTTATAATAAAAATGAGAATCTAAAGAACACTAAAAGACCAAAACAGATCTAATTGATGCATAAAACGAGAGTAAGAAACAGAAAGAGAAATTAGATAGAGAGGAGAGGAGAGGAAGAGGAGAAGAAGAGAATAAAGAAAAAAAAAGAGAAGTGAAGAAGTAGAGGTTAGGTTTTCTTCAAAAGAGAGAGAGAAGGCTCCTGAAGGCTAGGGTTGAGAAAAGAGAAGGAAAAGAGAGGAGAAACGAAAACAGAAAAAAAGAGAGGAAGTATATTAAAAAAATGCTTCTCAGTCTTGGGAAGATTTTAATATAAAAAAAGGAGAAGATGATGGAAGAACGAGAGAGAGGAAATATGCATGCGGCTAGGGTTTGGATTTTGGTTGAGGTAGTATTAAATATTAATTAAAAAGAGTAGGCTACTAAAAGAAATAAAAACATAAGATGTTGGGCTTGAGGTATAATTGATAGGTTTAAGCCCAAATCCTTGAGCCTCAAGCTTGGAACGGAAGGTTGAGGTAAAATAAGGCTCACTGCTGTTTAGGCTTAATTTGGCACACCCAGCCCAAGGTCACAAAGCCCACAGCAATTTTTTAAACCAACCACCAACGTTCCCTTCAATTGGGCCAAGATTATACACTCCGCCCAAACACTACAGGCCTAGATCCGGACTTTGCAAAATAAACAAGAAATCAAAAATCCAAAGAGAACCCAGCCCAGGATCTATCAAAAGGTGGCAAAATAAAAACTTGGGCCTTGAAAAGAAGAGAGCAAGCTAGCCCTTGGTTTGATTCCAGAAAAATCAGAGCAGGCCCAACATGATTAAAGAAAGAAGAAAAATAAAAAAAAACAGACCCATGTGAAATCTCTTTTCTCTGACATTGAAAAGTCAACATTTTTCAATTGATTTGATAAAGTATGTTAAATAAAAAACAGGCAAACTAGGAGAAGACCTCTCTAAAATCTCTGCCATCAGAAGATCAAACCCCTATTTTTATGTATAATATATTTAGAGATATTTCTTCTACTACAAAAAAGGGTGATTCTCCCAAAAAATAAGCAGGTCATATTTTCAAAAAGAGATAAGTAGGAAGACAGGGAGCTGTTCAAACTGAGAATCAAACTAACTATCACGGTTTGAGCGCTCACAGGGGGCAGTTAAAAATTAAAAAGGGGTTAGGTTCTCTTTCAGGAAAAACAGGGAAGTGATCTTGAGAACTGACTGTTGAGAGCTTATTTTCCAGAATTGGATAAAACTTTTCTTCTTCCTTTGCATTTAAAATGAAAAGATCTTTTGAGAATTTTTGCCGCCCATTATTAAAAGAAAGAAACCCTACTCCAAAGCATTTCCTTATAAATACAAGAGAGGGTGAACATAATTGACACACTCAATTTTCATCAATCAAACAAACAACCAAAAAATCAACCAAAAGCTCACTTGAACACACAAAAAAAAAAAAAAAAACAGTTTTAGATCAGAATTCCCAAAGTTCAGACTTAAAGAAATAAGTCATTCAAAACGAGATCTCTCTCGTTACAAATTTGGTTCAGCAAAAGCCAAGATAAGCAGAGTTTGAGTTTTCTCAAATATGAAAACCTCACAAATTTCACAATGCAGTTTCTAGCTCATTAGGTTCTTAAGAATAGCCACTTCTATCCCTTCAAATTGAAAAAGCCACAGTTCTGCCCGCTCAAAAGCCTCCCAAAGCTTAGAGTAGATTAAAGCTCTGCAAAAATTGAACTTTGGTATCGATCTACAGCTGAAACTGAGCAGTTGAAGTTGTTGAAAGTCCAGTCTAGCCCAGACATACCCAGTCCAGCCCAGATCAGAAGCTTCTATCCAGACAGGAATGGAGTTCCAGTTTTCTTTTTGCTTTTCTAGAGTTGATTTCTTCCTTTGTAACTTTGTAAAGAGCAGTTCTGTCTAAAACAGTCCACTTTATTATCCATTACTCTGGCCAGAATTACCAATTTTATACTTAGATAAATTGTGAAGTCCTCATCAGTCCGAGGCAAGAAAAAGAACTTACTTGGGAGATATTCCTCACCCAAATTCATAATCGCTTGTTTAGAAATCAGTAACTTGGGGTGCAAGTTATCGGTTTTAAAGAGGTCTGCTAGAATCTTTATTGCTAGTAGTGGCACGCTCATACACTAAAGAAAGCTGACTTGTTGACCAATCAATGGTTTCCAAGGCAATGGGGAACTTTGCCCTTCCGTATCAGGAATAAACACAAAACGGGTGAACAATTTGGCACGCTTAGTAGGACTTCTCAGTATACATATTTTGACAGGATTCTTCTTAAGTTTATGAATATTGGAAGCACTAGCTAGAACCCGTACCACGCCATGGAGATAAACCAGGTAGCTCTTAGGGAAGGTCTGGAGTCAGAAGAAAGTGATGCCAGACAATCAGCCCACCGTAGTACATGAAGCAGACGTTCCAGAACCGGCTCCAGAAGAATGAATCAAATACAGGAATCCGTATTCCAACAGGAGATGACAATACAAAGGAGCCTGGATATATGACAGCCATGATGCAATGGCAGGTTAACAGGCAATTCAGGAAGGACCGTGAGGCTGCCATGGCTAGAATTCCAAACCCGGATGCTGTAGTCCAGCAGCTAGATCTTTCTTATGGCCCTCCACCAGGATTGGCATGGCCATATCAGGAAAACCCTCTCATTGCACAGATAGTTGGGATACCAGAGCATGGAGAGATCTAGGCTGGACAGAGGGGAGAAGCCTTTCCCGTCCAAGGACGTGAGGCCCCAGTCTGGCCAGGAGGCCCTGCACCAATCCATAACCAGCCAAAACCTCAGCCTATTCCACAACTTGTGGCCCCACATGATCAACCTTTGGCATTTCTGCCTGAGCCACCATCAGTATTGCCCTACAGACCCAGAAGGATGGATCCCAATCCATTCTCTCCACCTGCAAGAGGCAGAAGAGGCAGATGAGGAAACAACCTTTTTGCTAACAATGACAGGAACAAGCTGGGGGCAAACTGAAGGAATCATCCAGATCTAGGAGAGCAGGAAGAACACAGGGAGGAAGTTATGCCCGGACCATATAGGGCAGAGCCCAGGATTGATCATGGCCAGCTAGAATAGGGATAAAATCTACACCCTGTCAATGCTTTGAATGACGTGGGGGCATTACAAAAAATGATAAGAGAAATGATGGAGCCTGAAGCCAGAAGAGGAGAGAGACCCACCTATAGAAAGCCATATCCAGCTTATATTGATAAGATACCTCTATCTCCAGGTTTCAAGATGCCAAACTTCATCTTGTTCAATGGAGAGGATCCCCACGCTTCATCGGTTGAGCATATAGGCAAGTTCTCTGTCCAGTGCATAGCCATAGAAAATAACCCTCTGTTGAAGTTAAGGCTTTTCGGGAATTCTCTCTTTGGACAAGCTTTCACTTAGTACACCAGTTTGCCAGCTAATTTTGTTCAAACTTGGGAGCAGATAGAAAGTGTTTTCCATGACAGGATTTAGCCAAAAGTCACTATCAGTGACCTTGCTACCCTCAAACAGAGTGAGGATGAACCTGCTCAAGACTTCATAACCAGATTCAGAAAGCTCAAAATGAAGTGCCGGATCCCTATGGAAGAAAGATACTTTATCCAGATGGCTTAGGTTGCCCTCAAAATCTCTCTGAGAAAAAGATTTGATGGGATGCTGTTTGGAGATCTGGCAGAATTGGCAGATAAAGCAGCCAAGTACGAGGAGCTGCTCAAGGAAGAACAGCAGAAGAGGAACTCTTCCAAGGGCATGTATTACAAGTCACCTTCTTCTTCAATACATCTAATTGAGGTAGAGTCGGAAGAAGATGTAGAAGGCTTGGAGGAAAGAGAGATTACAGTGGCAGAAATGGCAAAGTTAAAACATCCCATCAGTTGCAAGGCCCTTACAAAGCCTCCAAGGGATCAGAAGCCGCCACCATTCACAAGAGGGTTTGCTCCAAACAAACCAACACATAACAAGGTTTATTCCTTTGATCTGACCAAGGTGGATGCTTTATTTGACGAAATGTTGCTACAGAAAGCAATAGAGACGCCCCACAGAATGCCCAAGCCAGAAGAGCTCAAGGGCAGGCAGTACTGCTGGTGGCACAACTCTTGGAACCATTCTACCAGTAGTTGTGTTGTTTTCAGAGATGTCATACAGGAAGGAATAACATCAAGAAGGCTGAAGCTGGCAGAGAAACCTCCATCAGTCACAACAGATCCTTTTCCCCGATCACAAGTCAACATGGTCAACCTAAATTAGCCAGAACAAAAGAGAAGCAGGCCAACGACAGAAGCCAGCTCCAGCAGAGGCAGAATGGTCTCAAGGGAATCTATTGAAAAACCAAAAACAACTATCTCAGCTGGGGTAGTGCTCTGCAGCAAGTGCAAGTGTGAAGCTAAGTTAGAAGTAGTCCTTGACAGACAGAATCAGCCCACTCCGAGTGTTTTTGACAGGATTGGAACCTCATCCCGAGATAAATCCAAGCAGAAAGACTATTTTAGGCCTGCCCAGCGCAGTAGGAGGATGACAGAGTAGCCCAAGAAGGAAATTCAAATCAAGATGCCCGGGAATGAAAAACCTTTGGCGGCTATCATAGAAGGAATGTGGTATTCTGTCGGAAAAAGTGGTAAATCAACTATGGAGCTGACTAGAACCCAGAAGAGGAGGGTTCAAAGGCTGTACTGCACATTCCTCAAGAACAACAGTGATGCGCAGGTACTTCCAGAGACTAATCTTGCATGAAAAGGCAAAAATCCGGAAGTACTTCCCCAGGTAGAAAAAGCAACCCAGCCACAGAAGATGGTGACAGCAGAATCTCCAGTCAAGCCATCTATCCATCTTGCCTCATCCTTAGACAATCAACTTGAACCTTCACAAATACAAGGAGAATCCGAACCCATTCCAGTGGAAGGACAAGAAGACTAGATTGAGGAATACGAAGAAGAGCAGTTGGACTATGAACCATCTGCAGATGACCAGAATGGTCTTCTCGAAGCAAGAGAACAGGAAGACTGGTAGAAGAATATGGAGAGAAACAGATGGAGTATGGTGGAGAATTAGATGCGGAAACTGAAGCTTTTGGTGTAGAATTGGAGGACCTGTTGCAGGGTGATTTGGGCATTAACATGGTGTTCATTCTGCCAGAGAAGTTCAGGGCTGTGGAACGATAAGAAAGCACTCTGGAAGGAGATGTTTTCTCCCAGGAAAGCTTTGAATGCAGGCTGACAGAAGCAGAAGAGGCACCAGAAAAGCAAATAGGCAATCCCAAGAGAGGCGGAACTGCCAACAAATAAGCTGCAGAACAGCTTTGCTTTTCCAAACCAACCAAAGAGATGGCCAATCACCTCCGGCCCTTGTTTATAACAGCAAATTTTGGGGGTGTTCCTATTTGCAATGTCATGGTAGATAGGGGTGCAGCCATTAATCTTTTGCCTCACAGAATGCTGAGCAAGATGGGCAGAACAGAGAATGATTTGATTCCAACACGCTTAACCGTCACCAACTTCACTGGGGGCATAATTGGAACTAAGGAGCTGAAGATTGCATTCTTTGTAGTGGACACCACTTCTACCACTTATAATGCATTGCTTGGCAGAGACTGGATCCACCAGAGCCTATGTGTTCCCTCCACCCTGCATCAGCAATGAGCTCTATGGAATGAAGAAGGTTACATGGAGATAGTAGAGGCCGATCCACGACCATTTCTGTCCTAGGAGTGAGAAGCCAAGGCAGAAGTACTCTGGAAACACAGAGGCACTTCAGTATCCTTTTTATTAGCTCCGCCATCTCAGTCGGAACAGAACCAAACCAGTGAGGTCCCATGACCAAAGTGTTATCAAACAGATGAAGGACATTTTTGTCTAAGTTTTTCTTGGCAAAGGGGTGGAGCTTGCTCCTGACCTCTATCGCATGGTTGTCAACCCCAGTCCCGGTGATATAATTGGGAGGGACCAAGGAAGACGAACCCAGGGCGCGAGTTTTTGGAGAAGACATGATCAGAAAATTTTGAGCTAAAACATAGGGAAATGGCAAGAAAGGCAGAGTCTGTTCGAAGAGAAGAATAAAATCTGGGAAAACTGAGGAAGTCAAGGTCTGAGGAAAAACTAGGTTTCGGAGTGAACAGGAACTTTGAGTTTGAAATTCTTTTAAAAAAGGGCTCGAAATCGAAGAAGAAGAAGACGATGCAACACATGATGATAACTAGCTAGTAATGAGCTAGCAACTGAACAGTTTCCCACAAACTCTAGCCCAGTAGGAAGACGGGGCAAACGTGGGTTAACGGAAGAAACTGGAGCGCACAAATTAAATGGCCAATTCATTTAAGTCTGGAACCGTTCCAAAAAACGATTCAGACTTAGGAGGCATTGTTTGGGCTTAATTTAGCACACCCAGCCCAAGGTCACAAAGCCCATAGCAATTTTTTAAACCAGCCACCAATGTTTCCTTAAATTGGGCCAAGATTATACACTCCGCCCAAACACTACGGGCCCAGATCCCGACTTTGCAAAATAAACAGGAAATCAAAAGCCCAAAAATCCAAAGAGAACCCTGCCCAAGATCTATCAAAAGGTGGCAAAATAAAAACTTGGGCCTTGAAAAGAAGAGAGCAAGCCAGCCCTTGGTTTGATTCCAGAAAAATCAGAGCAGGCCCAACATGATTAAAGAAAGAAGAAAAATAAATAAAAAAAACAAACCCATGTGAAATCTCTTTTCTCTGACATTGAAAAGTCAACATTTTTCAACTGATTTGATAAAGTATGTTAAATCAAAAACAAGCAAACTAGGAGAAGACCTCTCTAAAATCTCTGCTATCAGAAGATCAAACCCCTATTTTTATGTATAATATATTTAGAGATATTTCTTCTACTCCAAAAAAGGGTGATTCTCCCAGAAGATAAGCAGGTCATATTTTCAAAAAGAGATAAGCAGGAAGACAGGGAGCTGTTCAAATTGAGAATCAAACTAACCATCACGGTTTGAGCTCTCATAGGGGGCAGTTGGAAATTAAAAAGGGGTTAGGTTCTCTGTTAGGAAAAACAGGGAAGTGATCTTGAGAACTGACTGTTGAGAGCTTATCTGCCAGAATTGATTAAAACTTTTCTTCTTCCTTTGCATTTAAAAATGAAAAGATCTTTTGAGAATTTTTGCCGCCTATTATTAAAAGAAAGAAACCCTACTCCAAAGAATTTCCTTATAAATACAAGAGAGGGTGAACAGAATCGACACACTCAATTTTCATCTATCAAACAAACAACCAAAAAATCAACCAAAAGCTCAGTTGAACCACAAAAAAAACAGAAAAAGTTCAGACTTAAAGAAATAAGTCATTCAAAACGAGATCTCTCTCATTACAAATTTGGTTCTGCAAAAGCCAAGACAAGCAGAGTTTGAGTTTTCTCAAATATGAAAACCTCAACAAATTTCACAATACAGTTTCTAGCTCATTAGGTTCTTAAGAGTAGCCACTTCTGTCCCTTCAAACTGAAAAAGCCGCAGTTCTGCCCGCTCAAAAGCCTCCCAAAGCTTGGAGTATATTAAAGCTCTGCCAAAATTGAACTTTGGTATCGATCTACAACGGAAACTGAGCAATTGAAGTTGTTGAAGGTCATCTGGCCCAGACATACCCAGTCCAACCCGGATCAGAAGCTTCTATCCAGACAGGAATGGAGTTCCAGCTTTCTTTTTGCTTTTCTAGAGTTGATTTCTTCCTTCGTGGCTCTGTAAAGAGCAATTCTGTCTAAAACAGTCCACTTTATTATCCATTACTCTGGCCAGAATTACCAATTTTATACTGAGATAAATTGTGAAGTCCTCACTAGTTTGAGGCAAGAAAAAGAACTTACTTGAGAGATATTCCTCACCCAAATTCATAATCGCTTGTTTAGAAATCAGTAACTTGGGGCGCAAGTTATCGATTTTAAAGAAGTCTGCTAGAATCTTTATTGCTAGTAGTGGCACGCTCATACACCAAACAAAGCTGAGTTGTTGACCAATCAATGGTTTCCAAGGCAGTGGGGAACTTTGCCCTTCCATCTCAGGAATAAACACAAAACAGGTGAACAACTGCATATATAAAAACAAATAAATAAATAAATAATGATTATATTGAAGAATGTCTGGTTTGGCCCGATTCGACATTTGGAGGCATGGAACTAGATTCGGAATCGATCAAAATCGATCCTGTTTGATTGTTTATCGGTTGACGTTTCGGTCAACTCGATTTTTTCCCAATTCTTTCCAGTGCTGTTTGCCTCTGTTTTTAGTTTGCCAATATGAATGCCCACCCTTAACTTATATCTATCAGAATATGTAACTGGTTAAAGTTAGAGGTTTGGAACATCACTAAGTTTTATCTAAGTTTATAATAGCCACTTTGGAAATCAATTATGACTCTTCTTTTTTAGCAAATCGGGTAAAATTCTGATTTTATTTTATTGATCTCCTTACGGTGGTATATATAGGTTTATATATATATATATATATATATAGTCTCCTTCTATTAAGGGATCCCTCAAATAATTTTATTTGAGGACACCCTTTAGGGTCCCTATGACATTTTTTTCAACGATCCAAACTGTCTATTTTTAAGTCTTCATTTATAGATCATTCTTGCAAAAAAATCATGCAAATTGAAAATCATTAAGGCATCTAATTGGGACCAACAAAATACACGAGAATTCAAAAAAATAGATAATAAAAAAACCAAACCAAACATAATCGATTGGTCTGGTTCGGCCGGTTTGGCCAGCTTTTGGTCTGAAATGACCATCCCTAATTCACACCACAACCCACTTAGCAAGCTCCATGCATTTATGTGTATTAAGCCCACTCAAGCTTGTCAGGTGGTTTGGCACTAAAGAGGGGGGTTGCCAGGAGTTGCATGTTACTCGCGTGCTTGTGTTTGTACTTGGACTTGGGCCTCGTTGTATTGCAATGACTTAAACAAAAAATTCATAGATTTCAAATAAATTTAAAAACTGAATGGAAACTAGTCTATAAAATTGATTCTATTGTAAGTGTTGATGCAAGTTCAATGAAATTCTCTTTGATTAAAATATTAAAAATAAAAAAATAAAAAAAATAAAAACCCAACTACCAAAAGAGATCAGCTTTTTATACTAAAAAATGAGATTCAAAATGCAACTTTTAAATATGCACCGAGAAAAAGATCATACATGCAATGAGAAAAAATACAATATTTATACATACATCAATAACAGTGGGTGGTGCAGGTGCAACAATTCCAGCCATGAGAATAAGAACAGCAACAGTAGAAGTAGTCATAAGCGGAAAGCAGGGGCGAACGCATGTTGGGACAAGAGGGGTGGCACAAAACACCCCTTGGACAGCAGTAGAGCAACCCCTTGTGCACATAAGGTGCTCAATGAAAGTCCCCACAGGCAGCTGTGAAGGCTTTGCGTGCAGCACTGCGCTTCGAGTTCTTTTTTTAACCACCTGGCAAAACGACATCGTCTTGGTTAAGGCGCTTCCAATCTTCTTTTACAAACAACGTCGTTTTGTTGAGGCATGCTTTGAAAAAAAGAAAAAAAAGAGCGGCAGCTCTTTACCCGACTCCACAACCCCTCAAACCCTCAATTCCCAAATTATTTTACATTCCCACTACTTCTCAAACCCTAAGCCCTAATTCCCACCACCACCACTTCATCGGCATTGACCAGTGAGTAAGCATCTCCTGTCGTCGCCGCACTCAACGGCCATTGTGCTGCTGCTTCCTTTTTATTTCAAGTAGAAGTTATATTTTTAATTAGTTGATTGAATTAATCGATGAGTAGAAATTAGAATTATCCAACTCTATTTTTTCCCCCTCCAAGATAAGTTGAACTTGGGTTCCAGAGTTGATGATAAATTGAAATCATTAAAATATATTTGTCAAATAATAATAAAATTTGGAAGAGAAAAATGATTCGTCATTGGCCGAAAGCCCTTCACTGAAGCTATTTTGTTTTCCTTTACCTTCAATTTTCAACTGGTAGTGCACAACATATAATGAATAAACATACAATATTTATATACCTTAATGGAAGTAACATAATCATCCAATTTACTTTATTGAAAAAAACCTTACATCACATATAGCTGTGAGGCATGGTTAGCACTGCGATTGTTAACAAAACGATGTCATTTGTGCACTTGGAGTGTAACAATATTCTGGAACTTCGATGGTAGCAATGTAGTGGAGGGAATCTATACAAGCATTGTGAGTTTAATCAAGGAAAGTTGTGTAGCATATTCTGGTTATTTCTCAGTACGACACTTTGTTTGCATTTGTACGTTCTAAATACGAAAATTGGAGGTATGAACTGATGTGTAGTCAGGTATATTCTAAAATGTGCAGGCTTATTTTTCTAACCCCATACGTTGCGAAGGGGCGAATTGAGTTTATGAAGGGCTAGTTTGGTTTTGAACATGGTTTGAGCAGAGGTGGATGGTGCCAATTAATGTACTGCCACTAGCGCACCACCCAACAATGCCTTGCCGCCAAGCAATGCTAGCCCCACTCCTTAGGCATTGCAACAGCCCTGAAGAACAGCCCTGCTGTTGGAAAAAGGGAAAACGAAGGGTGATGAGAGGAAAAAGAAAGGGTTGATGGATGGTTTTACTTGTCAATATCCAACATTACTATGGTGGGGGTACAAAGACGACCATTTTAAGACTGACATAGGAAATGTTTTTCGCTCCATTCTGATCTTGTTTGTTAACACTGTGATTAATAACAAAGCGATGTCATTTGAGTTGACGTGAGTCTCCTAATTAATCAAGGAGATTTACTTCCTTAATTAATTAAGGGATTTACTTTCCTATTTTTTATATAAGTGATAAATCATTGTACAATTAGGAGATACTTTCCTAATTCTTTATTATATCTAATTCCTTGTAAAACCCTCATATGTAAACTCCTATATATATCTCCTTATGGAGAAGAATAAAGAACAACTCAAAGTATTCAAACTATATTCATATTTTAGCATGGTATCAGAGCCAAGTTCTCTTGTGACATGTGCTTGCGTTCTTCTTGAAATTTAAGTGCTCTCCTCCCATCCTCTTCAGGGGGGGAGCGAGAGTGAAAATGATACCTTTATTGACATATCCCCATTACCTTGACGTATTCCCATGAAGATACTGCATATCTCTTTACTCTGACGATCCCTTCTCTTCAGGGGAGAAAGAGAGTGAAGAGAAGTTGTTTTGTCTCTAAACCCTTATCTCAAATTTCTCATATTCAAATCCAAAACTCTAAATCAAATTCCTCATATTTTTTTTCCCCAAATCCAAATCCCTCAAATCTAAAGTCCTCAAATCCTCTTAACTAAATCCCTAACACATACTATCAAATCTTATACACACACCTCTTAAATCCAATTCCTACATCAAATTCATACATCAAATTTCTCACATCACCTTCCTCACCTTTTATATCACATCTTACTTCCGCTACGATGTCAGGAACCCATACGATTCTCCATCTTATTACAGACTCATAGAAGCATGCGGTCAATCCTGTTGACCTGGCTACCCAGACTCCTTCTTCTATCACCACCACCAAAGGTTCTACTCTTCATACGTCCTCCAAGATCATATGTTGCATATGTTGTGAGTGTGGTTAATCAGTTTATACATTCGCCTAGTGTTTCTCATAGGAATGCAGTTGATCGGATCTTAAGATACTTAAAGTCAACCCCTAGGAAAGGATTAATGTTCTCAAAAAATGGAGATCTTGAAGTTGATGGATACACAGATGCTGATTAGGCTGGTTCTATTACAGATAGACGCTCTACTTCAGGTTACTTTACATTCGTGGGAGGTAACCTAGTCACTTAGCGAAGTAAAAAGCAAAATGCGGTTTCTCAATCTAGTGCAGAAGTAGAGTATCAAGGAATGGCTCACGAAGTTTGTGAATTATTGTGGATCAGAAGACCCTTGACAGAATTGGGCTTCAAGCTAGAAAAGCCAACAGAGTTGCATTGTGACAACAAGTCAGCTATCGATATTGCCCATAATCCAGTTCAACATGATCGAACCAAACATGTTGAGGTGGATAGACATTTTATCAAAGAAAAAATTGAGAAAAAGATCATCCGTCTACCATTCGTAAAATCAGAAGATCAACTGGCAGATATCTTAACCAAAGCTGTTTGTGGAAGAGTATTTCATGACTCATTTACCAAGTTGGGCATTGGTGACATATCTGCACCAACTTGAGGAGGAGTGTTGACGTGAGTCTCCTAATTAATCAAAGAGATTTACTTCCTTGATTAATTAAGGGATTTACTTTCCTATTTTTTATATAAGTGATAAATCATTGTACAATTAGGAGATACTTTCCTAATTCTTTACTATATCTAATTCGTTGTAAAACCCTCATATGTAAACTCCTATATATACCTCCTTATGGAGAAGAATAAAGAACAACTCAAAGTATTCAAACCATATTCATATTTTAGCAATTTGTGCATTCCGAGTGTAAGGCAATTGCATTTGTGGAAGGCAAGTGCATTTGTGCATTCTAAATAAGAAAACTGAAGGTATGAACTAATGTGCAATCCTTCTTTTTTTTTGTTCAATTATGTTAGATTTTTATTCAATTATATTCTAAAATGTGCAGGCTTATTTTTCTAACCCCATAGGTTGCGAAGCAGGCAAATTGATTTTATGGGGTCTGGTTTGGTTGTCAACATGGTTTGAGTAGAAGTAGATGGTGCCCTTAGTGTGAGTGGCGTCTAGCAACATGTCACAGTTGCCCAAGCCAATATAGAATGTGGTTGTGAACCTATTCAGTTGAACTTACCGTATAGTACGGTCCTTCTATAAATCAATGCTCTTGGTCAAGCTATTACGACATGGAATTCATGGCAAGCCCTTAGCGTGATTTATAGGCTCATGTGATTCATTAGAGCATGATCGCAATATATCTATTATTGATCTAGTTCGTTTCTTTGGCCAAAGACTTCTGACTCACATCTTCTAAGCATTCTCCTCCTTTACTGAAGAAAGAGATCCCTTGTTGTGCATTCATATGCATCCATGAATTGATCATGAACCCTAGTCATATCTTTGGGTTATGCCCAGAGGAACACAACACTTCAACATGGTTAAGGGCCCACGACACTTCCATGAGGCAACTTGTGGTGCCTCAGGTCAAGGACTAATTTACACTATTCCAACTTGAGAGATCTTGATTGATATGTAAGTAAAACTTCCATTCAAGCTGACTTTGTTGATCGCATTAAGTGAATTCATTCTCAATTGAACACCCATACACTTTTCTTAGTGTCTCTACATGAATGGGTCAAGACTAGTCATCTTCCTAATTGAGCAAATATAGTGCATGATGGTCTTTGCGGATATCAATGCCCAGTTGATTATCTTATGACCATGAACTCTTTAGGATGGGGACATGGTACATAAAGGTCTCCTGAACTAGAGATCTTTAAGTCACTTTCTATGTGTCACGATCCATGGACTCGTTGATTAAGTAAATAACCAAGACTATTACTCAAAACAACATCATGCCCATAATTAATTAAGTGAAATATCCTTAGAGTTTACATCTCATGATTGGCATACTTCTAACAATCACGGTCACAAGACATAACCACCATATTGTGATGATCCAATTCTTGAAAAAGCGCAATCCATTCCCCAAAATAATTTATTAGGGATTTTCCTTTCTATTTGATAGCAAACGCCTTTTGACTCAAGGCAAACACGCGAATTTCATCAGTTCCATCAAAGAACATCATTGAAAGGGCATCCCAAATCTCACTCGTCGTCTTTAGAGAGATGTAACACTTCATAATTTCTGGTGTCATGGAGGTCAACAACCAACTCTTGACTTTCTGGTTTTCAACATACCACTTGTCGTACTTGGGATTTGTCTCGGGGGGTGCCTTCTCTTTGCCACGAATATACCCCATTTTTTCTCTTGCCATGTTGTGAGATTGAACGACAACATACGCAATATTAGAAGCAACAATAGATTCATCGTCTTTGGCCATCTCAAGAAACTGAAAGTTTCAAGGAGGAAGATGAGTGGTAGAGGCATTGATATGGAGCGGGTGGGCGACTGGGTTTTGCACAAGGGTGCGTGATGCTGCTATGCGATGTGGGTCGATGAGGCGGCTGGGGAATTTTTGCAATGTATGCGCGAGCTTCTTTAGCTTAGCACTATGGGATACTACAATAGGTGTACAATGACAACGCATTGGGTTCGTGTGGCGGGGGCAGGGTGGATTCGCTTAAGGATGTTGAAATACAAAACTTCACCCAAAAAATAAAAATAAAAAAAAATTTCAAACGTGGGATTGGATTAGTCCCACAACTTTGATACCCTTTATATGCCACATCCAGCAAGCCTCAAATTGAGGGCATAGATAAAGCACAACTTGATAAACCATGTATAGGAAAAGAGTTCAAAAAAGATGGGAGTCTAACCAACCAATGAAAACTCTTAAGAGTGGTTGGTAGCTCCTGCTTTTGTGGAGCTAATTATTCAATATTTGAATGAAGCATCCTACACTAAAGAGGTCTCCAACCTATAAAAAGCATTGCAGCAAAAAAAAGAAAAAAAAGAAAAGGAGATGGAAGGAAAAAAAGAAGGGCTGCTGGAGGAAAAATTGCTAGAGCACAGAGACAAAAGAAAATGTTCACAGGTATACTCTCATTTCCATTAATTTTTGTGGGGTGGTAACCCTTAAATCAAATTCTTGGATGATAAATCCATGTTGGGTGCAACCCTTAAATCACATATATCAATAGCGAATCCATGGGATGATTCCCGTTCAATAAAGCTCTACCAAGCAAAAGGGAATCCATGGAAGAAAAAATGGTGTTCTGGGAGTTAATTCTAAAATGTGCATAAAAAAAGAATGTGCATTACCTCTTGGACTCTCTGACCAATTCTCTCCGTCTCTGCTTGAGAAAGCTTTTCTTTTTCTCTCTGAGCACACTGCATAAAAAATGAAAATGGGTGTTTAGTCATAAAGAAAAGAATAGGCAGCAGCAAAAAAAGATGGAGGTCTTCAATGTTGTTGTGTCAAAACAAATAATAAGAAAATGGGGCTGTGTCGCACAACCTCTCACTCTCTTGGATGATATTCTTTATCTTGTGCTTATTAGGCATGCAGACAAAACAAAGGAAAAGGCTTATATAAAGCCCCGTTTTGGAAGATGGCTTTGTATTTGTTTGCATATAGAAGCAACAAATGAACAAAAAAAAAGAAGGGAAAACAGCCGACGTTTTGGAAGATGGCTTTGTTTGCATACAGACACAACAAAAGGAAAAAAAAACAAAAAGAGGAAGAAAAGTCAGCAAAGATTAAAAAAGAAGAAGCACATGCCTTGGGTCTTGTACTTGGTTTTCAATTAAAAGGGTTTTGTCAACTTTGACTGTAGAGAGATGTTATACTAGAAACTCTTAACTGTGTGGTTTGACAAAGAAAGATCATGCATACCTTTTGTTGTGAAAACAAAGATAGCTCAGCTCTCTAGGAGGGTCTGACTGTGAAGCAAAAAGGAAAATGGGTTTGGAGTTTCGTTCTAAATAAAGGGAGGATTCTTGGCGGTGTAATTGTTTCCTAAGTCTGGCAATACTATAATTCCTTCACAACTCTAATTCTTGAAATTCTAATTTGATAATGACTCGTTCACCTGAAGGGATGATTTCACGCTGGGGTTGTTTTGTGAAGACCACAGTTGTGGGCCAGTTTTTGTTCATGGGTCAACCAAAATATTAAAGGCCTGAAACAGATTAATGGGTTGTAAAAAATATTTGCCAATTAACTCTCAAAAACCCAAAATATTTACAGAGGCCCAAATTTCCTATCAATTTTAAAGTCCTCATAGCCATATTTGGGTCCAAATGCAAATGTCAATTGTAGAAAATTAGTGCGTTCATCAAAATTGCTTATTATTTTTCTTGGACATTGACAATAAGAAAAATGGAACAAAACCAATTTTTCCCATGGGTCATCTACCCATCCAAATTCCAATGAGATTTAATTCAAATCTCTCAAACACAAATTCTCAATTAGTGGGCCACACTTACCCATTAATTTTCAATTTTTCCTATGGGTCATCTACCTTTGAAAATCTCCAAATTGTCTCAAAGACACAAATTCTAAATTATTGGGCGACACTTACCCATTAATTTCCACATAAATCAATTCTGAACTACGTTGGTTTGATTCCGTCAAAAGTACGTAGGCAGTCTAGCATCCCAATAGACGCATCCGCAACCAAATTTGAATCACTGGTTACATCAACGAAATTCCCACAAATCAAATATCCATCTCTACACAAATCAATTTCGAACTACGTTGATTTGATCCCATCAAGGGTACGTAGGCAGTCTACCATACTAATATACGCAACCGCAACCAAATTTGAATCCCTAGTTTGTTTTTTAACCAAATTCGCCCCAAACACAGTTCTATATGAATCTAAATTCACTCAAACACTTCTCAATACAATTCAAATCAAATTTTCCTTGCAATGAGTCATTATTCATTGTGATTCTTTAAACTATGAGTGGCTTGATTTCCGCAAGGGATACATAAGCACCGTGAGATTGGACTTGGGAGCAGCCGCAAAACCAAACACACACGTTTTGTTTCTTTATGATGGAATCAAAAGGTGTTCCCTTATTGAAGTAAGGGATTATAATTAAGAGACACTATGTCTTGAATGGATCGAACCTAAAATAATAAAACCTCATGATTTAATTAGTGGTGGTGAAATTATGTTGGGAGGTTCATATTTTTCATCAACAAAGGTTTCCCTTTCTTTCTTGAACCTAGCTCTAGTGCCAAGAAGAAGAATACTATTTGGCTAATATTGATGTGTGTTATTCATCTCACAATGAGGAATATATTGAAGGAAACATGCATCTAATGCTTAGGAAATGAACTTTACCCACAACCTATACAACAAAAATATTCTAAATGGCGGATTCATTTTGTTTATACTAGTTGAGGTAAACATTTTTCATTTTAAACAAAGTATATTAGCCTAGTCTCTTTGAACACAAATAGAAAAAGGAAAAAGGGAATAGATCTTTACCCTTGATGACATTTTCTTGATTTCTCCTTTGTTGAAAAGGCCTTTTGTTTCTCTTGATTTTGACTCCTTCACCTTAAGGCTCCAAGATTGGAATCCTCTACCTCACCACACCAAATGCTCTTAGAGATGAAGAGAAGGCAATCAAGAAGTATGGATGCTAGTCTACTTGATTGGACCAATTTTTGGTTTATGGAAGATGAGATACAAAGATAATCACTCATCAACCAAAGTAGGAAACCAAAAAACCCTAGCTAGGTTCTCTCCAACACTTAGCTTATATATAGGACAACACAGAAGGCAATTGGGTGGGTATTTGGGCCTCCATTTGGTCCATGGGTCATGTCATCTTATGCCACTTATCCATTGGGCCTAATAGCCTTTTGGGCTATTTTGTCCCTTTCCTTTTAAATCATATTTAAAAGCCCAATTCAATATTTCTATATGTCAATATTAATTCCATAATTAATCTTTTAATTATAATTTAACTATTAAATTATAATAATAGTCTTACTTAATTGACCTGGTTGAACTATTTGACTTTGGTCAATTGCTCTGGTCAACATGTTGACTTTTGACCGTTTACTTTGACATTTAATTATCAACCATTGACTTGTGTCTCCTCATTTCATTTCTCCTCATTTGTACCTCTAATCACATTCTTTGGGTGTGTAGATTCGTAGGTTCCCTTTAGCAAGATAGTGGGTTGACTCAACTCCTCAAAGATGATATACGAATTAAATTCTACAATTAAATTCTTCCTATTCATAAAGGTTAATTGAAATCTTTTAGGACATCCAAAAACTATGGTTGTCGCCGAGCAACATATCACGGTTATTCAAGCTAAATGAGACATTGTGAAAGAACCTATTCAAATTGGAATGACCGTGCAATTGAATCATTATCTTATGTCAATACTTCTGATTCACATTATTAGATCATGGAATCCGATTGTCAATATCCTAATGTGAATTATTCTTTTCATATGATTATCCTAGTAAGATTTGAAGACTTCTTCTTACAAGTCTTATCCACTACTCTATGCAGAGATTTGACCAATCATATCTTAGAGCATTCTCTCTCCTTTATTGAGAGTAGAGATTCTTTGTTGTACATTCATTTGCTTCCATGACTCTATTGAGCATCCTAATGAGCACCTTTAAGCTATGCCTAATTCAGCATGACCATATAATGTCCTCAAAGATTAACAACATAGCCACAAAACATCTATGATGCCTCAAGTCTAAGGATTAGTTTGCACCATTGCAATTTATGAGTTCCAACTTGACATGTGAGTAAAGACTTCCATGCTATAACTCATGTATTGGATCGCTTTCAGTGTACTTGTTCTTCTACAAGCACCTATACACATATCAATGTGCCTCCACACTTAATGACTTGAGACCTTGTCATTCCCTACATATAGAGACGATATTGTGTGTACTGGTCTTTGCGGAATATTGACGCCCAATCAATATTCCTATGAGCAGGAAAATATTCAGGATTTAGGGATGATAAGAAGTCTCCATGTATGCAATCTCATTACATAGTTCTCATATCCACTTGTGTATTCCTTGGACTATGGTTGTTCTACATATTGAAAGATAATATAGGGTGATTTAATGTATAAAACAACCTTTCTTGCCTATTGATAACATAATATGTCTTTTATCAAAGATGTCCTTAACTCTAACTATTACATAATTAGTTAGTTTTAATGGCATATTTCTAACGTATATATACACATAGGGTTACAACCCCAATCCCACTATTACAGGGAGTAATTACATGACTATACTAGTAAATCAAATATTACAATTAATTACCTAAAATATAATACAAAATTCAATTGTACAGGGCTTTTTTTTGGCCTATTTGAAGTTCTTGCTTGCGTAGGCTCAATGACTTGGCTGAAGTTTTTAGCCTCCTCAAGTTGCCTCAGTATTTCATTTCTCATATCATATCTTTGACGACAAGTATAGTTTGTAGAGGAGGGTAAGTGATAGGAACCTGGATTGGGATGCTTATCCATATTGAGTTGTTAAGTTGGTTAGTAGTTAGTTAGGAAGTTGAGCTTATCCAGTTGGCTATATAAACTGAGATTGTATTGATTGTAGGGATGTTGATTGTTTTGAATAGTTTCAATAATAGAAAGTGTAATTCCTTTGTACATTGGGTAAAGGTTGAACATGGTTCTAACAATTCTAGATAATTTAATATGTTTGTTCGAGTATAAGGCCATGTTAGATAATGTTTGTCGAAGCAAAATGCTTGGGTTGATGGAATTGATACATTTATGTGGGCTTGTTGTGACCTCCCCATGTGCCGAGTTATATTTTTGCTTGGCGTGGCACGAGTATCGAATCTTCTGTAAGCACCTTGTAGTTGTGCTAGATTGATTTATGCATACCTTGGCTGGGCCTCATTTACAACAAGATATCGTATTGGGTTTGAGATGCACTTGGGACCTTTTGGATTTTTGGGCCTAAAAAACAAGTTCAACTTTGAGTTTAAGAATGCAAGAGTAAGGTTCTTAATTCTAGGATGTTACCTTCTCCATTTAATATGGCATGAGTCAGAGAGCAACGTGGCATATGCCTATTGGTTTAGTTGTTTGACTTGGGACATGGGATAATTAATGCCATTAATTTAATGGGTTTGATGTGCATGTTGTGTGGGCCATTACCCATGTGATGGTAATCGTGCCATGTGACTGGGCTTGATTAGTTAGGTACCTTTAACCCTTGCACTTACCCTGTTAGATCTTTCCTTATAATGCCTTGTTTGTAACATCCCGCCCCAAAAGTTCATTTATTTTCCTATTTTCTAAATTGAAGGTGACTTTAGCCTTAGGGTTTCTTAGTTGTTTAAGATTAACTTTTGCTCAAGGCGGGTTTTGGAAAATTTATCTATTCCATTGCGCAGTGCTCGAGCTCATGAGTTCGTAGACATGCAGTGGGCCCAAATCCGAGTTGAAACGAAGATGTTTTGATCTACGGAAATGCAGTGGCACAACTGTAATTTTTGCAAATTTGAAATTTAAAACCCAGCTGGCCAATCAAATTTCAGAACTTTTTCTCTCTCTTATCTCTCTCTCCCTTGCGACAACTCTCCCTCTCTCACACGGGAACAATGGCAGAGCCATTTCCAGTCATTTTTCCGTTGCCGTGAGGCCACGGTTGGCAGCGCAACCTGCACGAAACTTGTTCCCTTCCTCCTCTATAAAACCCATAGAAGATCCACCCTTGAAACCCAATAGATAGCCAAGAATTTGGATCCAAAGAACCGACCTAAAATTGCCGCCTTGTCAGAAATTGCAATGGTTATGCCGGCTGTTTCCGGCCACCTTTTTTTTTTTTTATCCTTCTCCTCTACCTTTCCCTTCCAAAACCTGACTCGTAACCTCTGTGGATTGCTCAAATCGAAGCTGGGAATTCCTAGGTTTTCGGAGAGAAAAACCGATCATTTGAGCCTATTAACAGCCAAATTGATCTTTGATGCAGGTATAAAACTTACTCCCCTTGTTGAGCTTGATCATTTGGTATAAGCCTTGATCAGCGGTTTGGAGCTTTTCGATCACCATAAATTTCCTCAAGCCACTTGCCACTACCCGCGACCCACTTTGCCCTATAATTTAACCTGCGTCGTCCCGAGCATGACAATATGTTTGGATTGGTGAGACTTAATCTTTTGACCAAGGATTGGGGTTTCACCTATTAGGTACTGTTTGTTCGGGAACTATCTGACCGTTCTAGGAAAGCTAGAATTCACTTTTAAGTCCGGTTTGGAACTATTGTTTTACTCATGGTTGTATCTTTCTAAATAGGTTCACAAACGCCACGTACCGCTCCGGAAGCACCTAATAAGGGTTGAGCACACTTGGACCCACAATGAGTGGACATTTATTTTATACAGTCCCATTCTCCTGGACCCCTGTAGTCCAAGGAAACTGTGGTCACCCACCATTAGATCTAATCTAATGGTCAAGAAAAAAAAAGTTTAAAAATAAATATGTTATCATTTTATATTAATTTAATTTAACAAAAACTAAAATTAAAAAAGTAAAAGAAAGCAAAACACGCTTTTTAGAGAAAATGAAGAACATGTTCTTTCATCCATCAACATTCACAGCCACCAACTCCGATTGAAATTACAACAAACCTGGGGAAGTGAGCTATATGGCCTCAATAGGATTCGACAACTGACCCATTTGAATGGTGGTGATGAAGGACCCGACCCATGAGAGAATCTGGTCATTGGTGGCAATCTGGTCGAGAGGAGGGGCGAGATTCCGACGATGATAAGCAATTCGCCATTGGGTGGGTGGAGATGGAGGTTTATTTTTATAGAGATCTTGTTTTTAAAGATTTTATTTAGAATTTTCTAAAGGTGGAGATGAAGGTTGATCTTCTCCATTGTATGAAGGAGATGGTGGAAGTTGATCATGTGGTGGTGGAAAGTTATGCCTTTTTTCAATCGGATGATGGTGGTGGTGGTTTGGTTTTTTTTTAAACTTATTTTTAATTATCAAAATAATGTTTTGATGATACAATTATAATTTTTAAATTGATTCTTTTTTTTTCAACCCTTAGATCTAATATGAGGGTAGTTGACCACAGTTTCCTTAGACTACAGGGGTCCAAGAGAACAGGACTGTTGTTTTATAAATGATTTTCTTGCTATGATGGTCTCATGAATGTTTTATGCATGATTTATTTATCACTTTTACTTTCTATACATGATATTTGTGGTTTATATTCGGATTTGGTTTTGTGATTTTGTCTAAATGGATCATGGATCTTATTATTTACTTGATGATTTGGAAAGTTGAGAAAGGATTTTGCAAATGGTTTTGGGTAGTAGTTTTATGTGAAAAGGGTTTTATAACATATTCTAGAAAGGTTTTCAAACCCATCACAGGTACCTTAGTTGTTGCCTTCTGAAATATTGTTGCCTTTCAGAATATTGGTCGCCTCCAGATATTATGATGTTCTCGAACATCCTAGTTGCCTTCAGAAATTAAAATTACTTTGGACAAGTTGGTTGCCTTCGGATAAGTCTACGCGCATATGACATTGCCCCACGAGTCTCAGGGACGCCCAAACCATGTAGTGCGAGGATTTGCGTCTCATGCTAACCTCGTGTCCCCCATTCTGCTAGGATTTGCCTCTTGGACTGACCTCGTGTCCCCCAATTTTGCTAGGATTTGCATCTCGGGTTGACCTTGTGTCCCTTGATTCTGCTAGGATGTGCCACACATGTGGAGTGGTTAGTTTCACATGTGTACTACTTGGAATTGACGGATTATTATTGGAATTGATGGATTATATGGGGTACTACACCTAGGTGGAAAGTATTTTCAGTTTTTGATTAAATTTTTGTTTTAATTTTCATTGTTGATTTATCTCTTCACATGAGTTATGTGTATATGAAATCTCGTCTTCCTGTACGAATATATATATATATATATACACATTGGAAGTTTGAATGGTTTTCCAAAGAGATTTTTAAATAGTGGGGTTAGTATGTTCGTATTATGTTTAATAACATTTATTTTTGTCCACTCACATTTTTACTGTTTTGCGCCCCCCAGGCAGTCAATGAGTACCGGACCACCACTTGAGGGCATCTCTTCTTCTGCTACTCTTCCAATTGTTCTCGTGTAGGATTTCCTCTTGTTGTAGTTTCTCTTGTTGTAAACTTATAACCTGAATTGTTGTGAGGCATGTGGTCATTCAGATTTCTTGTTTCAATTTGTGGACTTGTCTTGTGCATGATGAATGTTTGGGTTTTAGATTGTGCTTCTACAAGCGGTGTTGTTGGGCTAAGCCTTTTTCAAGGGAGACTCTGCCGGTTTTTTGGTAGGAGTCTAACCCTAAGGCTGTTTTAATTTCCCTTGGTTTCGTTTTAGAAAGTTAGTAATTTGGGATCGACATTTGTCGGGTGTTGGGTGGGCACAGGATTCGTCATGAGTTCCAAAAGGGAACTCGGGGCAGGTCCTATCATTGTTGGGCTTCAAAAGTGTTGGGCCTAAGCGTGGCTTCAAAAGGCTTCCATTGCCAGCTACACTAGACGGTGCACGCTATATGTTCTTAATCAATGTATGATTAGGTGTCGATCTCTTTCGTGGGTTTGTTCAGAGGTAGAATTTGTCAATTTAGCTATCTTTTTGTCCATGTGTAATTATGTCTTTGAAAATGTGAAATCTTTGTCCCACATGTACGTAAGTGAAACAAAATTATAGGTACTACATTCATGTTCATAGCTATGTTATATATAATACTTACAGATACGAATGTAGCCACAACTATGTACTGACGAATATCAATCTTTTTAAAAATACGACTTTTTTGTTGCTCCGAATCTCCTTAAAATTCATCTCACTTTGTGATGTCCTTTTTTTTGCAGCTTTATCTTGGTGTTGTTTGGGTTCTTTTTGCAGATATGTGGGTTTTGTGTGTTTTTTTTATAGGTTCCTGTGTAGCTGCGGTTTTCCCCTCAATTTGGGTTTCGACAATAGTGCTACTGTTTTCATAGTGGCGACAGCGGCGACTCTACTTTCTGTCATCTCGGTTGGTTTTGCAGGTTTTTTTGGGTTGTAATAATTACATCAACTCTTTTGTGAGTTTGGTGTTTTGTTTGTAGTTGAGTCTGTACTTGTATTTTTACTTGTGAGAGCTCAAAAATTGTAGTTGTATTGGTAGTTTTGGGCACTAATGTTGATGTCTAATTTGTTTAGGGTTGCGGCTTTCTTGCCGAAATTTGTTTGGCTTTATACCACAATGGATATATACCTTGTATTTCTCTGTATATGAAATAACCTTGCGTGGTTATTGTGCTTCCACATTTGTATCAACTCTTTTTAAGTAGTTTATGCCCTCATGGCTGATGGTCTTGGTGCCTAAGTTATGAATACAATTATCGCTTACTCTAAAATATATATATATATATATATGATTACAGGTACATCTTTATACCTAGGTATAAATTCAAAAGAGTGTATTAATCAAAGTACTAAAATCAAATTTAACCGAACGACTCAATTTTAATGACGAAAAAAAGCATGTATTATTAGGTACATGTAATAAAATAAATAAACAAATAAAAAGAAGAAGAAAGTGAAGATGCTTAATTAGGGATATCTATGGAATTACGAGGGTCTATGGAGATAAAAATATGATTTTAAAATATATTTTTGCAGTGGGTAGAAAGTCATTTTAGCTGCATACCATTGGGAAAGCATTCTTTAGGAATTCATTTAATAATTTAGAGTGTTTTTCATATAAACAAAAGATCATTAGCCACCTAAACAATCATGTTAGCTACAAATAGGAGGTTCACAAGAAGAGAAATAAAGGGCACGAATGTGAAGTTCTATTTCTGGTGATGTGCCGAAGTGGCACGTGACGATCGATGTAGAAGAGAGAAAGATGGAAAGATATTCGATCGACTTCCATTGATCCCTTTCTGACGTTGGTTTCTAGAGAAAGATTGACAATATTATTAAAGTCAGAGTTAATAAAAAGTCCAGATGACTCAGCGAGGTAGATGATCAATAGGTGTGAAAAAGTTCCTTCCCTTTAAGAGACCATGTATATAAAGCCTTCACATGCTCATAACACTATTTGAAATTAAGTGTGAGGTTATTTGGATTGGAAGAGAAGGCAGAAGAGAGAGAGAGAGAGAGAGAGAGAGAGAGAGAGATGGGAAGGCCTCCTTGCTGTGAGAAGGTTGGCATCAAGAAGGGTCCATGGACCCCTGAGGAGGACATCATCCTTGTCTCTTACATCCAAGAACACGGTCCGGGCAATTGGAGATCAGTTCCCACAAACACTGGTAATTAAGCAACAGCTTAAATTACTTAATTTTATTTATTTAATTTGTATTTCTCATAAATCCAATATGGTATGTATATATATGTCATGAATTAATATTTGGTGGTTTCTTGTTTAATTTTGCTGCAAAATATATAGGGTTGTTGAGGTGCAGCAAAAGTTGCAGGCTCAGATGGACTAACTACCTCAGACCTGGAATCAAGAGAGGGAACTTCACACCTCATGAAGAAGGGATGATCATTCATTTGCAAGCTTTACTGGGTAACAAGTAATTCATCTTCAAAACTTACTGATTAATATTATTTCTTTTCTATATATTATGAACTTTTTTTAAATAAAAATTGTCTGTGTATTATTAATTCTTATAGATGTGAATTAATTTGGTGAATTTAATTAATATATTATTGGTTTAAACAGATGGGCAGCCATAGCTTCCTACCTCCCACAGAGAACTGACAATGACATAAAGAACTACTGGAACACCCACTTGAAGAAGAAGCTGAAGAAATTTCAATCAGCTCTAGACCCTCACATGGCATCAGACTCAACCACAAGTACCAGTCATCAGTTAAATATTGTATCAAGGAGGAGTTTGAGTGAAGGGAGCTTAGATAATATGGCAAGTCATGCCTCCTCAGTTACTCTGAAGAACAACCAATCCTCCACATATGCCTCGAGCACCGCAAACATCTCGCGACTCCTGGAAGGTTGGATGAGATCCTCCCCAACCCAGAAGACACTGTCTGACACTAACCACCTCAAACTCAATGCATCCGATGATCTTCAGGATCAAGAAACACCTGCTGGAAATCTAGTATCTCGTCACGAAGAGTTGGAATCGATTTTGTCGTATGAGAACTTGAACAATGTTGCTTCATGGGACAGGTCCACTTGTGATTCTACTCAGTCTGATAATAAGTTGAACCCTCGATGTGATTCTATTCATGATGATGATCTTGTGCCTGATCGTGATCAGAAGAACAAGCAAATTATTAGATGTGAGAGCAGTACAAGTGCTCCTCCATTATCATTTCTTGAGAAGTGGCTGTTGGATGAAAGTGCTGGACAAGTAGACGATGATCAGATGATGGAATTGTCTCCGATGTCCTCGGTTTGAGCTATAGCTAAAACAAAACAAAAACCAACAAAGAAGGGTGTTTATTGATCTCTTTTGTGCTGAGGTTTCAACAAGTCTGGAATCTCTATGCTGATAATTGTAACTTTTTTTTCTTCTCTTTCTGAATGGATTAAGGAAGTCGATCATCATTTCTCCCTAGTCTGTGAAATTAAGGAACTATAATCAGCTGATTAACTATGCTAATTGTCATCCCAAATGCCTTCATACAAACCAATTTATTAGGATGCAGTCCAACAATAACAAAATTTGAGTTTTAAATCCTATATTATGGAAATTAGAATGTATTTATATATATATATAAAAACTCATTTATTGGGGGCCCCTTCATGGTAGCTGGAGGCTGGTGCTAAAATATTGTTTGCCTAAGTACATACACATGTACAAAGGTAATTAATTATTGAGTAAGTATATTGACATCTAGGTTGGCATGTAGACTGTTTTTCAAGTTTGGAAGTCATAAGTTATGAGAGAGAGAGAGAGAGAAGTATGAGATGAATTCAAAGTTTTACCAATCTTTTTGTTCTATGTTTGAGTGTGTACTATTTATGTTAATTAATAATTATGAACTTGGAAGAAACAATTAGCTAGAGATATAGGGGAAAGGAATAATAGCCATATAAGTAAACGGGATTTGCGTCACGAAAGTCATGCAACCAAATGAGGTAAATGGTTGCCTCAAAAACCCTACTTTTGGGGGAAAATGAGGGCAAAACATGTGAGCATATTCACCTTTCGGTGTGAGAAGCTGTGATCTTATGGCTTCCAAGCCTACCATGCAAATTGAAAAGCTAAGTTTTCACAGGACATATAGAAGGGTTTGACTGTCATGCCTGTGCCTTTACAGACACAACAAGAAATCACAAAACGCCACCTTCCTATTGTGGTCCCTTAGTTTCACAATAATTCATAAAAAAAATGAATAATAACGATGAAAAATAAAACGGCACGCTGTGGTTCGTAGTGGCCAACCAAACATGAGGTGCACCATTAATTATGGACTCCCAATAAACGAAAATATGAGCCTTTATTACATCCAATAGGACAATTATTTCAAATGCTAGATAACCGACCTTTATCTCCCAACTTACCTAAATGTTGTGTTACAATCTTTTAGCTCATTTAAGGCCCTTTAATCTTTCAATTATTTAGCACACTAGCGCATCACCACCTTACACTTGTGTTAAGAGCACTTCTAGTGGCAAGGGGAAGCCCGGGCTGGAGAGGGCCTAGGCCAGCGTGACGCCTCCAATGTGCAAGGGCAAGTCCGGGTAAGGCGTGGAGCCTACCAACCTGGGCAAGCCCATAGGCAAATCCAGCCCGTGCTGCTGCCTGGACAAGTGATATAATGCTGACGTCATAATGATGTCAGTAGTCAATTGAAATAATTACAAATTGAAAAAAAAAAGAAAAAAAAAGGGAAAAAAAAAACCAAAATATTCAGATTTTTATTTTTAATAAATATCTAGTCATATTCTTTACTTCCCACACCAAAACACTAAACCTAAACCCTATCAAAATTAATCGTTTATGTATAAAATAAAAAATAAAAAAAAATTTAAGTGAATAGTATTTGCCCTTTGCCATGGCAATGGGTGGAAACACACTTTGCCTTTTGCAAGGATTGGTACTATTCATGTGAATAGTAGTAGCTCTTGCCTCCCCTTGCCCTTTTCCATGACAAATGGGTGAAAGTGCTCTAAGGAGTTTAAAATAAAACAAACAGGGTGAATAGTAGCAGCTCTTGCCTCCTTTTGCTCTTTTTTATGACAATTGGTGAAAGTGCTCAAGGAGTTTAAAATAAAACAAAAAATGGCACACACAAAAACATTATTTGTTATGATTAACTTGAAAGATGTTATGTTCCTTTGAGAATCTAAACCATAAGCCCACACATGAGCCAGCGCATGGCCCAATCCAATTTGTACTCAAAGGATGACCAAGACTTTAATTTTTATTTTTTTTAGTATAATAGATTGGAGGAGGGAGGTTTACACAAATATTCATTGAATGTTTGGGATTTCAAATGTCTGCCCACATAGGTGGAAGAGGAAGAACTTAACCAACTGAGGAGAATGACGTCCTCATAGACTATATTGAAGAGTAAGGAAAGGGCTTTTCCATGACAATGAGGTCTATACCCCACTTCCGACTTTTTTTTTCTTCTTTATTGGAACAAGGATGACCAAGACTTATTACAAGTTCTTTCTAAACTTCCAATGTGGGACTAACTTATTAGTTCTGCTCTATGTAACAACATGGGAGATAAATTTTAGGAAGATGAATTTTTGTAAAGAACTTGAAACACAACACTTTATTGTAAATATGGGTTTATAATAAGAATACGTCGTGTCCGAGAACAAATCTTTCATAGTGGTGGTGATGTCGATGAAGCCCATGCACAAAACCACAAGATAAATGACTGCCTAGACCTAGAGGACTCGGATATGGCCTATGAAGTACTCTCCAACAGTTTAATCTATGGTTCATCCATGATGTTATTGTTCAACAATTTTTTAAAAATCGCTATATTTGTTTTATTTTATTACTGCTACAGAATCTAGTGCACACTCCTTTTTAGAGACAAAGGAAAGCCCAGATGCTTCACTGATGAAGGCCACATTGGGGGAAATGAGCAGAAAGAGGTGAAGAGACTTGGCTAAAGAAGAAAAAGCAGGAAGACCATATGCTAGGGTTTCTAAGGTAAAGAAGAGCTTCCAGCGCCTATAAAATAAACCAACGGATTTCCTACAGAACCAACTCAAAGCAGGACGAGCAAGCACATATATTGTAAGTATTGGAGACATTAGAGGTTCAGAACCAAATAAAAAGCTGCTTTGGCCTATGTCACAACAAGAAGATTACTAGATACATATGTTTTAAGAGTTATTTACACTAACAAACCTTGAGGTTATTGGTGTTTTCACAAAACCCCTTCAAGTTCCAGAAATTACACAAACATCCCCTGATGTTTCAAATTATTTTCACAAAACCCCTCCCGTCAATTTTTCACCTAAACAAACAATTTTCCTCCAATGACAATGTTAACCTCATTTGAAGAATTTTTTATTATAAAGAAATTATCAATTTTTTCAACGGAAAATAAAAGAAAGGGGTTATGTGAAAACAAAACCTCAGGTGGTTAGTGTAATTTATGAAACCTAAAAGGGTTTTATGAAAACACCACAAACCTCTTCGGTGTCAGTGTAGATAGCTATGTTTTAACTTAAGCCTCCAGATTAACTACATAATTCTCACCCTACAGATTAAAGTAGAAACTAATGTAAAGTTTTCACATGGACAATACTAGATAATATGGCACCCAATGTATTATTGATATGGTCTAACTCCACTAGATGATCAATGGCCATTTGTATAAATAGAAACAATGCAGGATACAGAAACAAAATATGTATCCTACATCAGAATGAAAGTCAAATTACATAAACGCTGCCTCTGCAACATATGAGGCCAAGCAACCTATCTAGGGGAAAAGAAAAACAAAAGGTTTAATTTTCTAATTTGATGATATATATAACAGTTAAAATACATTTTTTTTTTTTTTTTTTTTTTTTTTTTTTTTTTTAGAACAGTGGTGTGGTTTCTGTTTGCATCATAAAATGTTAGGTGTCAATCTTTTGGATGATACATTGCCTGGGATGGTTAAGTTTATCTTCCTCGCATCTTCTGAACCTCTTCATGTATTGATTGGAAAAGTACAGTGGGAATATACCGCTCACCAAAGCTTGGAAATATAACCTATAATTTCAAAGAAAAAAAAATTAATAGAAAGAATGCAGTACAAGATTAGATTGTATATCCCAACAGAAGTGCCACCTACATATCGTGGCAAAGTCAATCAACACAATACTGTTTGGAATGGTATAAAATGTAATTTGTCAACTTATTAATTCAATGAGCAGATGCATGCAAGCCCGCAGGTGTGGCGGTACTAGTGTAAAAACACATTGGACACTACACAAATTGGAATTATGTACGGATGACTTACCCAGCAACATGAATCTCCATTAAATAACGGAGAAACAGAGAACTGAGAATCAGAGATCAGTGAAATTTGTAAAAGAAATCAATGATGCTTAGCTATGCTCTTCTTCATGACAATAGGATAACATGTCAACAATAATGAATCAAATACAAATAGTATACTAACAGATTTGTGAACCTGCAGGGCGTACCAATCTTGGCAATGAGTTTGATATGAAGGATCTTGGTCCCTACATTATTCTTTTGATTGTTTATGTATTCTCCCACTGACATACATTTAGCTTTGATTTCATGATCACATTATCTTGATTAAACTACATCCGACACCCTTCAAGACAATTTTGTGTTATTAATTAAATGATTCTGCATCAGTTTCTTATTCTTCATATTTCTTATAATTTGACCAACACTTTGGATCCAGGTAAAATGCTTTAGCTATGAAGCTATCTACTGCTTTGCGACAATTTGCATGACAAACTAAAGACTCTAAACGTACACATTAAAGCTAGTCAAATCATATAAATAATCATGATAGGGAAGAATAAAATGAGAAACAAAACCAAAAAAGAACCTCACCGTGATTAGTTTTCCAGTATTTTCTGGCCTTCTTGCTAAACTTATTGCAGCAGCTGCAGCAGCTCCTGATGAAATACCAACCTACAGACAAGTATTTGCATATTGAATTATCAAAATCACCTCGAATTAGGATAGAATTACAGAAAGTGGGATGAATTTCTAAGTAAAATATCTAATAAATTATAGCAGAAGTTAGAATCTGTTGCTTATAAAGTGCTCCATGTCAAAGAATACTCGCAAATTACCAGTAAACCTTCCTCCAATGCTAGTCTCCTTGCCATTTCAACAGCTTCATCATTAGTAACCTAGATTTGAAAAAAGAAAATATATATCATAGTTAGTTAATTTTGAACTGTAATGAAACAACCCCCCCAAAAGCAACAAAAAAAAAAAAAAAAAAAAAAAAAAAAAAAAAAAAAAAAGAAAGAAGAATGGAAGAGGCTGATTGACATAGCAAATCCCAAATAGTCATCCAGTAATACCTTATGACACAGTATTTGTTGGGAAAGAAAAGAAGAAAACAATATGAGTGGGATAGACAGGATCAGAGAGAGGAAGAGAGGAGGAAAAAATAAATAAATAATAAAGAGGAAACGGGAGTGGAGATAAAACAAGAGGGAGGCTAGGGTTAGGGTTTCTAATTCAATATTCCTAATCAAGTCTGTCTTCAATGAGTAGTGACATATGCCAAGATTTTACACTGAAGAAATTCAACAGTGTAGCGCCGAGACACCTCCAAGTGAAGGCCTTACTCTCAACCTATCTGAAATCATGTTTGTGATCCAGGAGATTTTCCAACAAAAACTACTCGGTGAATCTCATGACCTTATGACCATATGATTGCTTCCCCTTTCCAAGGTTACTAACCAACACACTCACCCCCATCAATGGGTCCTTAAGTCATCTAGGCTCATTCCATACATCTGCTCTGCTAAGTTTGCTTCCTACATTGGTAGCAAGTAGTGAAATATAATGCCAAGACCAATTTCTGGTCTTTCTTAAACACGCAAACCTATATACAAGCACCATAGGCCAGCCCTTATGCTAAACACGCAAACCTATATACAAGCATAACGCCCAAGAGAAGAACTCATTTCCAGTGCAGGGTCACCCTTCCCTTACTTTTTGGCATTGTGACAAAGCCCCAAGGTCTAGCATCAATTCCATTGTACTCATTTTGACCACACAAACTCATTTGTATTTTCGGTTTCCCGAAATTCCATGTAATTTCCTCTCAAGAGAATTCCACATCAGGAGTATAAAGATTTGATGAGCAATATATAACATCTTTGGCCTTTCCGCCCATCTCAAAATGGGTTTAGGTTGGACGCACTAATTCTGTCAAAGTATCAAAGCAGGCAATCCATGTGTCCAGCCAACAAGCACACACGGTACAGTCACCAACACGTGAGTGGGCGTGTAGAAACAATCACACATTGAGAATTCAAGTCTTACACAGTACTGTAGAAGACTTGAGCCCCTTCATCAACTTCTAATTGTTATTTTTATTTTTATTTTTGGTTTAGATGCTCTAACTCTATAACTATCCAAACTCCTAATTACAAGCCACATCAAAATGAGAAACAAATTTTTTTTGAAGGGCTAAAATCACGATACAAAACATAGTGAACCAGATTCCACCATCAAAATGATACAGCCTTAACAAAAAAATCCAAAATACACCTAAATTGTAAAACAACTCTAAAAACAATCCTACAGCAGCTCCCCAATCTAATAAAATTACAGAAAATGAAAGATCCCTAAAAGTTGGAGAAAGAGAAGGGCATAAGGATGCCCAAAACCTGACTCTTTCCCAAGAATTCTCTTCTACATCCCCACTATAGTTCTCGAATTTTCTTCCTTTTTCTCCCACCAAATTACCCAAAAGACGACCAATACAGTGCAACTCCACAAAATTCTTGCCTTCCTTCTGCTACCAAAAGACAAATACTTTTCACAAAGCATGTTTGAAGGTGACAGAGAAAAAACCCAATGAAACCTCCCTGACTAACTGCCACCACAGCCTCAATGCATACATAACCAATTTGTGTTTACAATAATGTCACTCAATAACAAAGGGTATCTACTCACTCGTCATGCCAGCACACCCCAAGTCCAAGCACACTCCACATGCTAGTGCTCTCCACATGGATATTCACAAGATTGTCACTCAATAATAAAAGGGTTCTAAACACTTCCCTCACTGAGATGCATCTCAGATCTCATCTTGGTTCTTGTCTTGCTGGTATCTTGTCTCATGTTTGTCTCGTTGAGAGCTTTTTGATTCCCGTCTCAGTTCTATTTGTTGTAGCAAGTTGAGAGTCACTGATATCTACCCTCCAACTTCATGGGGAGTTTTGTTTTGTAGGCTTATTATTAGTCATTCAGTTTAATGGCGGATTATTAGGCATTTAGCTTAAATAAGTCTGTTAGCTTATATTGAGGTATAATTGTTGAATTAGCTTAATTTGAGGAGAATTGTCTGATTCCCTTAATTCAAGGCTAATCTTCAGGGGAGACTTATGTCTTTGTGTCCTATATCAAGACCAATGTAGTTTGTTGTTAAAATAATGAAATACAATGATCTTCCCCGCTTATTTTTTGAGCTTATTTACAACAGGCTTCTTGGATGCCCTGCATCACCACCCTTGATTTGGCAGCTGGCACATTTAGTATCTCATCTGATATTATGTTCTCAGGCATTTTATTTGAAATTATTTGTTTGTGTGAAGGCTTGTGTTGTGTTTTTTATTGTCATAATTGCAATACAATAAAAATAAAATTTGTTTGTGTAAATATGCTTAATTTTTAGATTATTTCAGACCTGCTCTGGTAGTATCCCATGAGTCTTATTTCAATGCTTTTATTAATTTTCAGTCATTGTAATTTGTAGGTCAGAATTAGTGTCCAAAAGTATTTTAGCAATTTTAATGTAAGCCACTATTTAGCTATGGGTTAAAAGAAAATAATGATTTATTTATTAATCAAAAGTAGAAAATTGCTCAACTTTTATGCACCCAAGAGCTCTTTTCTGGGGTTCATGTGATGCCCGAGGTTTTCTCCTATCTCTCTTCATGCTACTTTCTTGGGCAATATTCTTCAAACCAGATCAAAATCAGCTCAATCAAACCATTACAGCCAATCCTTAAATCCATATATAAGCCACCATCCAATAACTTAAAAACCCACCAAACCAGCCATCTTTATACTCTAAACCTACCAATTATTGTAACACCATTAAAATGCTAATAAACGCTCAATTTCTCAAACCATTAGCCAAAAAAAGAACTAGTTAAAAACCCAAGATGACAAACCCATGTGCGTTGTCCTATTCCAGGAGACAATGAGAAAACAATAACACTAATAAAACCTAAGAGACAACGCAAATCAATTTACCTTGATGACCTCATCAAGCAAATTAACATCCAAAATACTTGGCACATAACCTGCATGAAGAACTCACATAAATTTGTCAGTACAGGCATATCATATTCTTGAAAAAGGAATTGAAACAGAAAATTGATGTATTAAAGAATGAAGAGCAACAGTGCTTTCACCTGGATTTTCTCCAGAGATCACACTCCTCTCTGCAGGTTCCACACCTACTACCTGGATAACCAAAATTACAAAACATGCAGCTTTCCAGAGTTACAAACACAATAAACCACAAAACTGCAGTGACACTAATTTCCACTAATCAAGCCATGTAAGAGCAACCACTCAGATACCCCCACCAGATATAGATCTAGTAACAAGCTTGAAATCTCTAATGACACTAAGTTGTCAAACTGCAATAATATTGCAAAGCAATAAACTTCAAAACAGAAAAAGAAAAAATAATAAGTTCATAGTCACGGCCATTGGAAGTGCTATGCCATTCTAAGGCCTATGTACAATGTTGTATTCCAAAAAAAATATATATATCACATGAATGATATAGAACTCTTAAATGAATGTCTTTTAACACTACAATCTGAACTTTAAAGTCAAATCCATAATATTCTGTTTCAATTTGAAAGAGACACATAAATATCATTGAGATGAGCAATCATGAAATAATTCATTAATGTAGACATCGGCGCAAGATACGTGTAACTTGCAATGAATTACTATACATTATGAAGCCTGACCTTTATCTCGTTGTTCATTGCTTTCAGGTAACGCCCAGTGCCTGTAACAGTACCACCAGTTCCAATAGCAGCAACAAATATGTCAACGCTGCCCATGGTATCCTCCCATATTTCTGGCCCAGTAGTATCGAAATGTATCTGTGATTCATCATTTGAATCGTCATTATAATATAATACTATAAGATATAATATACGAAGATTAGGATAACCAATAGCAGTTAGTCAAGTCTTCCTGGAGAGAAAACAGAAACAACCTTTGCATTGGCGGTATTATCAAACTGTTGAAGCATATATGAATTTGGTGTTCTCAGAACAATCTCTCCAGCTTTATCTAAAGCTCCTTTCAAACCCTTTTCTGGATCTGTCAAAACAACCTCTGCCCCAAATGCACGTAAAAGAATCCTCCTTTCGAGATTTATGGATGCAGGCATGGTGACTATAAGTTTATACCCTTTAGTTGCAGCAACAAAAGCAATACCAAGTCCTGTATTTCCACTAGTTGGTTCAACTAATACACTCTGCATAGTTACAGAAAGAACATACAATTCTTTTATATAACAGAAATATGCAACAACAACCTCCCCTCAACCCCAAAATAAAAGGAAAAATAAAAAACACGGCTTTCACCAAATATAACATCTTACTCCATGTGACTTGCAAAAGCATCTTAGATGACAAGGTGATTTATTGATCTACACAGTAAATTTTTCATATAATGACTAATCAGCTCACCTTTCCAGGAGATATTAATCCACTTTTCTCAGCATAAGATATCATGCTACATCCAATTCTGAAATTTTAATGAGCAAATATAACATGAGCATCTGCAATGTTTCTCCATTCAACAAGCACAAAGGTTAATGAAATGGAAGTCATAGTGGTATGGTAATTATTACAGGTCAGCAAAGATACTTAGTTCCATTAAAAGTACATTTCTTCAAACTTAAAGCGAGTATGAAGAAATTAACGATACTTCTTTAAATTTTGAGTACTACCACATGGGCCAATTATGTCCTAAAGTTTCATCAATAGGATGATTCCATTTACCAGATGAATCTTCTACAATCAGGATGGCAAACAAAGATTAAGAAGTAATTCTGGTAAATAACGGTAACAACATCTAGTAAGATCCATAATATGGGGTAAAATGACAATTCATCAGTAGGCAAGTTACCTATCCTTGACACTTCGGCACGGTTCCATAGATTCAAGCTTTGCTGCAATATTTGCCACACAACCTCCGGTAACTTTGTTGAGGTATACCATTGGTGTACTTCCAATCAACTATATCAGTTTATCAGCAAAATTCCAGTCAACAAAAAATTTTGACAATAAAAACCACCATGTACATAAATTGCAGTGATTAAAACAAGATTATATATTGTAATGAAATGCGTAAAGTGACCACATCCAACAGCTACGTTGATACAAATTCAAAACCCACCTACTTATCATTACTTTCTCACAATGCTATATGTATATGTGTGTGTGTACATATTACAAGAGATTCAACATAGAGAATTTTCGTCTAATTTTTTTCTGACCAACCAACCAGGGCAGTGCCAAAATTGAAGATATGCCTTGTTGAAATCTTAGCATTAAGGAAGATTATTCAGATAGAAATTCAACAAATGTGCTTTGAAAAGTACGCTATAACAAAAGAACAAACCAGCGGCATAGAGCAGAACCTGGGTTACGTCCTCAGCGATATTGACAGTGTCGAGGTCTTCTCTGGTGGCGTAAACAGAGGAGGCTTTGGCAAACACGAGAGGGTATCGCTGCGTGAATTGTCTTCTGAGCAGAGCTCCATTAGTGGATGAGATGGAGCTGGAAACCTTAAAGGTTCCGAAACGGTGGCGTTTGGAGGGAAATGAAAAGGGATGAGGGAGAGGAAGAAGCAGAGGAGCTGATAATATAGCCATTGGTTAAGAAAAGGTTTTTGCGGGGTTTTAGATGGGGATTTCACGTGCACGGTGGGGGTCGAGTTAGCGCTTTTGCGCTTCCTTTATTTTTTTTATAAATTAAATAGAAACCTCATTAAATAAACTTCAATGGTACAATTAAAGACATCAACAAAACATCTAAAATGTTAATTCCAAGACGACAACAAACTAACATGCTAAAAGCAAAACTAAGGCAGACAAAAACCGCACTAAACCTACTAGTTCACATCACCACAATTAGCCATAAGCCCAAACAAAGCCCACAAACCTAACATAACCAAAACCCTAAATTAATCCATGAGCCTAAACGAACCCTACCACCACCACCATCTGAAGAAGCATTGTCACGGCCACACCCACCACAGCATTCGTAACAAATATGGGGAAAATATGATTTCCAGTTATCTACCTGCGCATAAGAGTGAACAAATAAACGAAAATGACAATTTTGTCAAAGAACAATTGAGTGATTTGTAGCAACCTCCGTCAAAGACGATGTAGAATCAAATTTCAAGAACATGAGCAGCGTTAGGGAGCGGATTTTGGGAGTAGAATTTGATTGAGAACATAGACTAAAAGGGGTGATGGGGAACTTCAATCTAACCATGGCTTAGAAGAAACCACCATAAAGGGGCTTTTTATTCAAAACACCCCAGTGGACTTATTCACTAATCTAAAGAGAAAAGACGAGAAGTGATTAGGGGGAGGAGGGGTAGTGACGCTTCTTCCTCCTCCCCTCTCTATGGAATTTTCCTTTAGAACTCACAAAGGGAGAGAACAACTAGGGTTTGGGAGATGCGCCCTTCCTTTCCTTTGTTTGCCACAAATGCATCTGGAGCAAATTGAAGGGGTTTCTTTGGGTTAAATTCTTGGATTGGCTTGGCCTAGTATAAGTTGGATAAGACTTGTCCTGCATTTGGTGTAATATCGGAAGGTGGACAACGAAAATGGTACTATCCTGTGTTTGGTGTCTGCTTGGACTGTGACTAAATTTTTTTAAATTTTCTTTGGGGTGATATAAGATTTTAATTAGAAACTATTTTTACTATAATTCCAAGGTCAAAAATTCGTATTAAATTTTTCAAAATTTTGGAAACATGTCTATATTTTGATAACATTTTTGAAATGTGAAAGCTCAACTTCCCTAACACAAATTGCCAAACCGTCACTGGGTAATTGCAAACACAAAATGCAATTGTCATCACAGTTTGCGAAAACCAACTATATATTTGTCAATTGCCGAACCACTAGCCACATGACCTCTACCCTTGGTTTTACGCATCTTTTCTTCCTTCAAACATGGTGAGATATCATCCCAACATCATAGCAAGCCAATTTCACAACATATACAACAATTGGGAGACCCATGAATTTTTCTGTGGATGTGCAATTTTAAAAGACTAAAATGTTTTTAAAAAAATTGACAACCAAATATCCTTATAATTTAAACAATACCAATGCTATTCATAATTCATAGAAACAAAATAGCATTACAATTAACCTCCAATTGTTGCCTTCAGTTGATGAAGAAGAAAAAAAAATGCAACATGTTTCAAATTTTTTTTTCTAGATTAAATATGAATTACATTTGAACTTACTTTGAAAGCTTGATCGATACAAAATTTTCTTCCTTGACACAAGACTTTATTGATGAATCAGTTTTTATAAAGAGGACTCTGGAGTTCTCTAAAAAAAAAAAAAAAAAAAAAAAAAAATTTATTTATTTAAAAAAAAAAAAAAAAAAAAAAAAAAACACTTGTGATGATGATGCAAAAAAAAGCTAGTGCATCCATAATCGGCTCCCTAAACCACCTCCTTGGTTAAAATTTAGAGAGGAATTGAAAAAACTCACTCCAATCATGCTCCCTATCCAGCTCCTAAAATAGGAAGACCTTTAGGAGTTCCTAAATTTGAGGAGAGAGAAAAAACTTATAACGACTCCATATAATTAAATGCTACTATATTTTAAACATTTATTTAATGATGTCTTTAATTTTATCATTTTTTATGCATTATATTGTTGCAAAACACAAACACCTTTCTTTTTTCGCTGTAGTTGTTTTGCAATTTTTTTTTTTTTTTTTTTTGCTGTAGATATTTTGCAACACACAAACACATTTTTATAAAAAAAATCTTTTCCTTGTAGTTATTTTGCAAAACGCAAACACTTTTTATATATATAATTCTTTTCATATGATTTCTTATTTTGACAGCCAATTCTTTCAAAGCAGAAAACCATGGAATATCAAAATTGAATAAAAATTATTTTGCAATATTCATTATTTGAATATGAAAATTTTATTGTAAAAATCAGGAATTAAATTATTAAAAAAGAAGTAAGGCATTTATGACAATTAGAAGTAAAGCATTTTTTACTCTCCAAATTAGGAAGTATGGTTGGAGTTTAATTTTTTTAGAGAGCTCCTAAAATAGCTTTTTTGTATTTTTAGCTAAATTTTAGCTAAAAAATAACATGATTGTGTATGCTCATATGAATGTTCTAATCCTTTATAAGGAATTGGTGGTGGGGACGTAAGGGACCATTTCTTATATAAAGAAAAAACAAAAACAAAGTCTCTTTGTTTGACCAAAAAACAAGCAAAATATCCTTATTGCTGAAGGAACTCCTTCCATCTACAATGCGGTTACAATTTTTTTTCCCCTGGTCCAAAACGACGATGTTTTGGCCAAGGGTTTTATTTATTTATTATTTATTGTTTTTTAAAAAGTACATATGAGCGTTGTGCACAACGAACATCGCAGGGTTGCGCAGCAAAAGAGGGTTCAAAGTGAACTTTTGTCGAACAGGTGGCGTGCGCATTTGCCTGAGAGAAGGGGCAACATTTCGGCACCTGCAACGCTTGCTTCGGAGAGTGGAGATGTAGGTGCACTTCCTTGCGCCAACAGTTTGCGAAAACCAACTATCTATTTGTCAATTGCCGAACCACTAGCCACATGACCTCTACCCTTGGTTTTATGCATCCATTCTTCCTTCAAACATGGTGACACAAGCTCCAAACCATCCCAACATCATAGCAAGCCAATTTTCACAACATATACAACATAAAGTTCTACTTAATTCATGGTAAATATCCAACACACAATTCACAAAATAAGATGATCAATGGTGTATATACAACACCAAGTTCACAAAATAAGATGATCAATGGTTTATATCTAACCACGTTCACAAAATAAGATTATCCATAGTGGATTTCGAGCACCAAAATTACAAAAGAAAGTACACATGTTAGTGTTCACAAACTAAGAAAAGTTACCATGACCATATGTAGTTTGTGACACAATTGTCATCCATAACGAAGACACCATAGAAGCACCGTCATCCTCTAGCATGGTCATTGAGAAATTTTTGAACACTGCCACAGTTTATGGTTTCTCCAAAATGAGAGTCAATGCATCAATTTGATCCATAGGAGAAAGACCCGTGTCCTTGAGCATTTTGGCAATGTCACTACAATCTTCATTACCTTTCACTATTGCATCAATTACCATTTGCATTCTTTTTTCCAGATTCTTCAAATAATTTTCCCAGTGCATGTACTATGTTGTCAGTTCCATCACTTGAATTTTTTTGTTCCTCTTTCATCTTTCTTTCACTATTTTCAAAATGACTGCCACCTTGGGACATGGGGGATTCATTCTCAGCTGCAATGTCACTTGGATTAACCTCATTATGGCTTTGCTCCTCCATTCTCTCCATTGGGACCTCAAATCCTTTTCCAATAGCACAGTCCTTGCAAGACGGAATTAAAATATGTACTACTGGTCTCTCCGGACAGGAAAAAGCTACTACCAATAGTGCAGTTCTTAACATGATGTGCGAGTACATGTAAGAACACACACACTTGCTCCTCCAAAGACAACAAAACCATTATTTTTTACCGTTCCATCTTTGTCAACTAAATCGCATAGTAGACCAAAAAGTCCTTCTATCCATTCTAAGTTCGTTGACACATTTTATATCACTATTTCCTTTTATACTATCAAGATAACACAAACGAGTCTCAAGTCTAACCAATGAACAATTATTCAAAGAGTGCCTTTCAATATGTCTCCTTCTCAATTTAAGCATCATCAACACAAAAATAGTGCAAGCACACATTGTCTCTAAGTGCCACAACTCCAACAATAAGATCAACAAAATCTTTCTTCGATCCATATCTAATAATTGTTATACAAACAAAATAGTCTTGGTTTAGCTAGTTGTGATATTAAAATAAAATGTACATATAAAACACAAAAATAAAACCAAAGACAAAACCCATAACATTCATACAATCCAATTAATATGCTCAGATAAATTTCATAAAAAACCTACACTAAACAATAACCCACAGCAAAGAACCTATAGAAAAATCGAAAGAACTACAAAAAAATAAGTAGAAAAACTTAAAAAAGACAAACTTCACATTGCTAACAATAAAGGCTATAAAGCCTGAAGGCATGAAGCAAAAACGAAATATGTCAAAGTTCTGTTTTGGTTCTGAGGTATCATCTATTTGAGTCAAAAAAGACACACCAAAGCTTTGACATATTTCTTTTCTTCATGCGTCCCTAATACCTCTTCCCCTATGCTCTCCCTTTCACTACAAAAGCGAAACAATGACCCCATTTCTATCCACATTAAAAACCCCAATTATTTTTCTTTCTAAAAACCTTGTACACGTTTGTTATTCCAAGTCTCCTATATATATATTTTAAATCTTCTATGTAAGAAGCATTTTTACTTTGTTTTCTAACCTATTTACCATAAAAATTTCACCTAATGGAAAATTTCCAATTCTTCACATAACTCAATCCTTGAACTAGCAAATCTAGCCATTATCATACAAAAAAAAAAGAAAAAAAGAGAGGCTAAAAACCTAAAAATAAAAACAGAGAAAAATCTCAAAACATATGCAGAAAAAATTCATACCATAAAGTAGAGAGAAGAGAAAGATTGAGTACAATATTCAATC